AATTATTTTTTATATTTACTTTCTTGAGTAAATTAAAGAACACTGTTTTTTTTGTCAAATTTTACATATAAATTTGGGTGAGTCAACTTATTTGATTTATATGTAAAAGCATTTTGAACTCCTGTAGAAGGACATGTCTTATCCCTGTTATAGTTAAAGATAGTACTTTAAATATAATAGTAGTCTAATTTGGGTATTGTAAATATGAATTTTTGGAATACAAAATAAAACTTCTAATAGTAATATTAGGTAGTTTAAGATATAGGTCTTTAAATAGCAATAGCATTTGGCTTAAAATACAAATTAGATAAGTATTAGAAAATAACATTCTTTGAAATACTAAACTAGAAGCAAAAAGAGTATCTACTTCTAAACAAGACACCAATTTGAAAATAATTCAAGAAACAAATTAGAAATAATACTACAAATAGTAAAATGCAAAATATAACTAGTTAGATTTGTATAAATAAAATATATAAGTAGGATATATACAAGTTGCTAAAAGTTAGCAACTGCTATTTATAAATTTGAAAAGTTGTTTTTTAGTAAGTTGAGAACTAAAGAGAAGAAAAATAGTTGCTATAATAGTTGTATCTAGATACAGAAATAGTAAATAAGTTAAAATTATAAATAAAATAGATTGATAAACTTAATTAAAAAAACCTTTGTATAATTGTAAATAGTTTTTAGCTTAATAAAAATTCAGCAAGACTGTCAATTAAAAAATAAAAAAATAAATCTTTCTTAAGAAGGTAGGAAGTACTAGTATTTTTACTTTTTAGTAAATAATAAATTCTAGACTTGTTAGCAAGTAGTGTATAAGAACTATTTCTAAACAACAAGTGCTATCTTTATAGTAAATAATAAACTTCAAAACTATTAGCAAATAGTATATAAGAACTATCTTTAAATAATAGTTGCTATCTTTTAGTTCTTATTCTTATCTCTGACTATGTTTTATTAAAAGCTATTATATTTTTATATATTTTATAGAATAGATAAACAATGATTAATAATCATTAATAGATATTTAGTGAAGTTGCAAAGCTTGTAGAGTTTGTTCATCTATTCTATAGAACATCTATATTTTTTTAAAAAAATTTGTTCAAAAAATTTGGTACAAGTAATTATTAGAAAAAGTAAATGAAATATTCTAATTTTATTATATAATAATATTTTTTTAACTTTTGACAGTCTTGTTAATACTATGATACAAAATTTTTTTCAATAAAATTCCAAAAACACTACAGTCAAACCTCTTTAAATACAATATATACAGATCAGTTTAACATATGTATTTAGAAATGTTTGTATTTAGAGAAAGCCAATCAAATTGCAACTTTTAAGATTTGATTTGCAGGCTTGTATAATATGACTTGAATACTAGATTTTGATTGGCTACATGCATTTATTGTAGTTTTCGAAATAGTTGATACTAAAATATTTTGTATACTCACTGTATATTGATATAGAATTATCTAACCCTAAAAAATTTTTTTGTATACTTTAAATACAACTAATATATTTAAAGTATACAAAAAATTTTTTTAGAAGTAGATGATTTTATAGTGAGTATACAAAATATTTTAGTGTCAACTATTTCGAAAACCGCGATAAAGAAGTTAGTATAATATAAAAAATCTTTTGAGTAAATGTATATTTGCAGAATATAGAATATGTATTTAGCACTAATGATTTTTTATAGCTAGGACAAAGCCATGTATTTAGAAAGATATTGTATTTATAAAAATTATATTTATAGAGGTCTAACTGTACTTGTAAAATCTAATTTTGAAATTGCAAGCCCAATATCAACTGGCTATATTTTTTGCTTCTAGATACAATCTGTAATATTAACTTCAATAGAAATTAGAAAACTTTGGCAGCTTTATCAAGAACTATACCAAAATAGAACAACTTCACTATATACTATTTTTTCTACTTCTTTATCAAACTACTATTAAATTTTATTTTCTTTCTTTTTAATTATTATTATTATATATTTTTTTTAATTATAAAAGTATAGCACTCACACTTAGACTTTATTAATACTTAAATGATTAATATATAATGGTGTCTATATATATACATATTATATTAAGTACTAAGACTAGGATATCAGGTATACAAACTATTTATCCATAGCTAAAACTCACCAGAGCCAACTATACTCCCACTATACTGTTAACCTGGATTTTGTATATTCTTACCCATCTCTATTTAACTTTTATATATTTTTTGCTTCACCTACATTACCTAATATTTCAATTTCCAAATTGATGTGTTAATGCTTTGGGTAGATATTTAATACTTCTAGTTTTGGTGTATCTAATTTATAGCTTCTAGTTGGCATACATGTAGAGGGTTCATATCTCAAGCCATGCAGCTGCCTCTATCCAATTAGGTAAGTATCTCAAGCCTACATGCTGCCACAACTAGCCCACTTTTCTGTGACTTTTAGAGTTTAGGTCTTAGCAAATCAAATTTGGTAATATATAAATGGCTATACTTCTCTTTATAGTAATGAGAACCCAGGCATGTTTTGTAACAAGTTACCTGCACTTCCAGAACTAATAGTTGGCTAGCATCATAAGGCTCCTTGCATAACAGATACATCATCGTTTCTTTTTATAGTAATTCTCAACAGTTGTAGCTTAGTTATATACTATATGTACTTATATCAGCTATCTAAATTTTGTTAAATCTAAACCACTTTTAATGTCCAAAAACTCCTATATAGGTATGCTCAAAGCTCTATTGGGTCTTGACACATACACACCTCCATGCTTTTGTCTCCTTTTGGTAAGCAGTTCTATACAGTACCAGAGGTGTTCCAAACTTGGTAAGGCTAATTTTTTACCACAAGTTCAATTTGTGTTTCACCACTTTTCTCACTACTTCAATTCTAGCTACCATCTGGTTATCCTCCCAAACAAGATCCCAGTGCTGCTTTAGAGTTGTTGGTGCTACCTATGCCAATTGAGAATTTACATGCACAACCTTTGTGTAATAGAACTTTTTGTAATATTGGCTATTATATATAGCACCATCTCTTCACAAGGTAAACCTCCTTTCAAAAATTCCTATTCCAAATCTGTATTTACTTGGACTTCCCACGTGTGAGTATATTCAAACATTCATAAATAAACATGCCTACTAGAACTTGAACCCGAAACCCACTCATAGAGGGTTGGTGCCTAGACTACTAGCCAAAAGATCCCAATCTTTCTCTTTTTAATAATTATTAATATTAATATTATAATATAATTATTTATTATTGTCTTTAAATCCAAACTCTTAACAGCAAACACAATTTTATTATTAATTTTTTTTAATATATAAAAAAATTTTATTTAACAATTTTATTAGATTTAAATTTATTAAAAATATAAAAAAAATTATAAAATATCAAAAATACAAAAATAAAAGCAACAATAAGCTCAACCCAAAAAAAACTCTAATCACCCTCTATTATACCAGAATTTTTATCTCCAAATTTTTATTTACTGTCTCCAAGTCCACAATCTAAACTCTTAACCTATTTTATTCTAACCACAACCTGTCTAGCTAAATATTGTTTTGGTAGTTTTGCCAGACCAGTTCTGCTAGATCATGATTTTGCTGCTATGCCTGAAGGTTGGCAACTTGATTCTGCAACTCTTGGATTATAGCCAGAATGGATTTACTTCAATTTGTGCGAGGCATCTGAATTGTGACATACAATTTTTTTTTTGAATAAAGTTTGTAAGCATATCTGTTAAAAATTTTATTATATGAATGACAATTAGTTTACTCATTACAAATAACATACATTATTATAAATGACATAGATAAATAAATAGTGAAAATTGGCACTGAACATATGGGATCTTTGCTAAGAAAATGACCCTCGAGGCTATATAGATTTATAAATTTGCCAGCCGTCCAATAATCCAATCTAAATAAACTTATTTTACAAAGCTCACTTATCTTTACAAAATAAAAAATATATATTTAAATTGGATCATTGGATGACTAGCAAATTCGAATTTTATTCATAAAATTTACATAGTCTCGGAAGGTTATTTTCCTAGCAAAGATCTCATATGTACTTTGCACTTAATCATAAGTCAAAATTAATTATCTGAATATTTATAATGGGAAAATTGTGTGTGTTTATTAGAATCTGATATGTATGTAGTGAAAATATATTTTAAAAGTTCTTTTTTCACAATATTCATTATCATTATCCCCGTTCCTGTTTTGCGTGACAACGTCGCGTAGCTAGAGGTTGGAACCGGTTTTAAAATTGAGTTCATTACATCAAATTCGAGTTTATCACATCAATTATTAATAATTGTTTGATAAACTCGAATTTTGGTGTGATAAACTCGAATTTTGATGTGATAAACTCGAATTTTTAACCCGGTTCCAACCTATACGCACAGCTATTTATCGTTATGTACAAAAGCTTATAATACGTAGCAAACATACATATGTATACATGTATAAATATAGAGGTTTCAAGTCACATGAAACGCCCATCCAATCAGTTTTAAGATTTTGTTCACAGTCACTTAACTCTTCAGTAAACCATACACTTCGTACTACGTTCCTGCTATAATAAATTTCAGCTTTTCATCACATCATATATAAAATACCAGCTTTAGAAAAATTCGGCCAACATTGTGCAATATTTGATTTAAATATATGCTCCGAATTGTAAACCTTAATCGCCGAAAATTTTGATCTCAGAAACTAATATCGTGTGTTTAAAATTACAAATTGAAAACTAATTTTACCAAAACTTGCCCGAAATTACGTAAAATTACAGTAATTTTAGTAAATTTACCCCTACGCAGATAAGTTACTACAAGAAACTGTGAATAATACGTAACTCTGCTTATATCTGTATCCTTGAATTTTCACATATTGATTATTAATTAGCAGATTGATTACGAACCTTGTTATGAAATTAATGCAAAGAATTATATATAAAAAAGAAACACTATAATATTAACCTAATCTTTACCAATAAACCATATCCAAACTCGAACTATAACTGTTTTAGGATTAGAACTAGGACTAGAATTAGAAACAGAACGAGGTTCATCAGAACAACAAATACGAAAGCACAACCAATAAAAACAAATAGCTATTGAGACTCCAATGATGCAACTAAGTATTGCCAATATTATTGATGATGAGGCTCCACCATAGTTATAAGGAACATAAGGAACAGTAACATTTCTATAAGAAATTGGAAAGACCGACGTTATGGCATTTAACATTTCCTCATTACTGGAATCCGCATAAAGATCTGAAATGGCTATACCACCATACGAGCTATTTGTAATTAATTTTAGCTTATATTGAATCGATTGAGGGTCTTCATAAGAAACATAAACATATTCGTATACAGGCGTTGCCGAACTAACTTTGTAAAGATAAGTAGTGCTTGTTTCAGAATCAAATTTACGAGTCCAACCAATTCCAGCTGTACAAGTATTTATTAGCGGACCAGTTTGCTGCCTCATAAAATACCAAGGATATAATTGTATTGAATTAACCAAGGTAAATGAACATTTATCATAAAAAAGCTGAATAGGAGGATCACTACTATATGAAGGGGTGAACGGAGCATTTGTTAAGTTACGTGGAATAGTTTGGCTATTGTTAAGACTGCCCAAACCAACTGGAGCAGTTAATTCAATAACACCATATAAGTCTACTCCTAAGTTGAGTTTTGCTGAAGGTACGATTTTGCTCCAATTACTCATAATGGTTGATGTTTGGTCAAGTGTAATACTTGGACCCGTTTTATTTGTAGATGTAGTTAAGTTATGGATTATATTGACTTGGGTTGCCTATAATAGTATAGAAATGTAAACGAAAGAAAAAAATTTTTTGATATAAAATGTGTATAATAAAAATAATAAATACAAAAATAACTTACCATGACATTCACAAAGCTTACTGAATCAGGATTTAATCCTGTTATAGGAATAGGACCAACTGTTATTGATAATTCTTTGTTAATTCCTTTTAAGGCGGTTGATAATTCGTTTACTAGTGGAACAAAGTTCTTATCATTCAGCCAGTTTCTGCAATTAAATCTATTTGGATATTCAAGATCAACCTATATTTATGTTAAAAATATAATTAAATTCTCAATTTTTTTTTTTTTAATTAATTTAATTTAAAATAATAAATATGAATATTTTAACATACACCATCTAAATTGTAATTGCTTACAAAATTTGTAACGTTGGTAATAAATCCAGCGTGGTCACTGGTAGTTCCATTTGCGAATGAGCCGATTTTGATGTTTCCTGATAAAACGATCGCTAGAAATATCTAATAAAAAGATATGTCAACTGTTTAATAAATTTGTAATTATAATACTTTATGTTCTAAAATGTGTTATTACCTTCTGAAAGTTACAGTTCTATTTAAAAAAACGTGTGTTGATGTTAGGGGTATATCTTTATTTTGAAAATCATCTGGTCCAAATGCTATATAATTAATGAAATAAATGTTAGAACAATTTATTAAAATGAAAAAAAATATATTATTTAAAATTTTTCGTACCAATCCAATTTAAATGTGTAATATTCCAAGGGATCAAATTTGGACTAACAGAATTAATATCTGATCCATAATGAGTGTAAGCAGTTAAGTAGCCAGGAAAATATCCAACGATCGTTTTCGAATCAACTGATAGTGGTGTAAGTATTTGAGGGCACGTAGAATCTGCACGCTTTTTATGCATGGGACTCGTTAAAACGCCATTATGAGCTATTAATGTTAAAAAAATTAGCGTAATGAATGTATGAGAAGAAGGGAGTGTTGTTCTCATGATTTACTATAGTTAGTCTAAGAACAAAAAAGTTTACAATGGATACAAAAAAGATTATGTCTAGCTATTTAAGAAATTTCTTTGGATTACCATGAATGGAGGTATAACTAAATCGAGACTATTTACAATCTACGATGCCAATATTATTGATGTGTGATACCGCGAAATAGTCAAACCTAAAAAAAAGATACCATTTCCTTTATAACTAAAAAATTATTATATTATACATAGATGATACAAGCATATTTGGATACACTATTCAAACAAAAATTAAGTTTGTGCTAGAAATTATTTTAGAAATTGTTACTATAGAAATTAACGCATTCCTTTTTTAGTAACGATAATGGTGGGAGTACAATTTGTAAATGTGTTTCAATGAGCACTAAGAAAAAAGTATCTCCTCAGTATCTCTATTGTAGGTTGATTTGGAATTTTGTGAATTCAGAATCCACTTAAGTCGATTTCGAATCCAGAAACAACTTAAGTCGATTTCAGAACTTAAAAATATTATTTAAATAATCGAATATTAGTAATCATAAATCACGTGTTTAAAATATTTGTACTTATTTCGCGAAAGTTTTTAAGTAAAAATTTAAACCAAAATATTATTTTATTTCAAGACAAGTTATTAATGAATTAATTAGTTAATTTTTTGAAAAAAAAAGTCACTTGCAAGATGTCATAAAGTCTTTATTTCACAATCCAATTAAATTTATAATTGCGGTACTATATGCCCTACTAATACTGTACAAATTTGGAAATTCAAAAGATCGATTTAAAATTTTTCATTATAGAAATTGGGATTGAAACTGATCCAAATTATCACTATTTTAAAAATGAAAACGCAAAAATAGAGAACATGTTATTGAAAAAATAAATGATAGAATAATAATGCAAAAATGTTGTTAGCTATAAAAATTTCTTTATTCAAATTTATATTGCTTACAATTTTTAAAATTCTATAATCCACAGAATTCCGAACCCACTTACTACATCTCTAATACAATTAATACAATAAGTGCTGTGCATTGGTAACTTACAATATCTGAACTTAAAAGTTTCTGAAATTATTTATAGCTTGTATACGTTAAATAGTAAAGCATGCGGCAATGTGAGCAATGCAAGGATATCAGTTACTAGTATTATCAGTTGTACCGGTGTTTATTTTTCACCTGTTCGGATCCAATCAAATTGATATATCTTGAAAATCAAGTACTTTGTTAACTTGATGGACCTGCACAGTTGTACATAAAATACTATGAGATGTAATAATATATAGAGATTGCACCCGTCAAGAAAATCTCTAAATAAAATCCCTGTCTTTTTATTTATGAATAAAAAAAAAAAAAGGCAACTTATACTTATTTTATGAATAATTTCTTATATAACTGAATTAATATAGCGTAAAATGATTCTTGTGAAATGTTGTTTGCGAAGAATTAATCAAATTTCCCAAACCATATTCATTCACTATATTTTGTATAGGAAAGGTTCCCTCCAGAGTCAGTAGACCTCCATTATCAAAATTTTTATAATCTTCACATAAATGATAATAAAGTAGAAGACGTGCAAAGGCAAAAATGTAGATAAAATATAATAGCAAATCTAAACAAATGTATATATATGTATATAACAATACATACCACTATTTTCATTTCAAGAATACGGACCCAGTGATCATCATATCACATTGAAATGAAGCAGTGACGTTATTTGTTTGCTAGCACTAAAAAATTAGCCTAAACTGTCCTATTACCTAACCCTAACTTAGGCCGAACACTTAATCATGTGATGTGATTATCACGAAAATATCACTGGGTTTCTTGTACCCTTCATTGTTTCGCTCATGATTTCTGCAAAAAAATCGGATTTCTTGTATATGATTACAAAACAGACGTGTATACAGCGATAATAAAATTTCACATAGGAAAAAGTAAACAATGTTTGGCATTTGGTTTGAATTTTCCTGATTGTGCTACGCTACACCTGACCTTGAAATTTGATATAAAAGGTAAATCACAAAATTTGCATTTGTACTCATATTTTCACGCCACTTACAATTTTTATAACTTCTAAACTTTATCAAATATTGAACAAAAGTATTGTCCCTCTTGTGAAACAGTTTATCCAATTCATTTTTTTATAAAAAATGGTTTTATTATGAAAACATGTAATACATGTAACTATTGCACTTCCTGTAATAAAACATATCCAGTTCAACTTTCAACTTTTTACCACAAATAAAATCAAAAATATCTAAAAAAATAAGTTATCAACAAAAAAAAAAAAGAAATGTTAGTCAAAGGCAAAAGAAGGTTTTGGATAAATTTAAGCGGGTTTATCAAGAAACCTGTGATTGGTTTAAATATACAGCATTACTTTATTACTAATTCTCCAAAGAAATAAGGAAGAGTCGTGGGTTATAATGAAGAAAAGGATGATATAAATGATAACGAAAATAATAATGATGATCAAAAAGACCAGTGATTATATATATGCCATGAGAAATAGGTAATTATACACAACTTTTCTTAACAAAACATTTCTAAATTATTTTAATTTTCAGAATTTTACACGTAAATTTCAGTTCTAATTTTTGTTGTTCTTTAAAACAGTCTGTTTTCATCAGTGGCCATTTGCGAAATTCCAATTATAAGAGAAATTAGTTATGTTAAGCAATTCCACATCTTTAGGAAGGGTGGAAAAACGTATTTGGTTGGAGGATTGCTGTTTAGACAAAAAATGTGTAATGATGTAAGGACTAATAAGAAAAAGAAGGGCCAAAACATTAGTTTTTAAATAAGATGATGTATAATAAGAATCATAAATATTAATAAAATAAATATATTCTATAAGTTACGAAAAAAATTTTTATATTTTAGTATATTCTGAATTATTAAAATATTAACTGGATGTTACATCAATATCGTTGCAATAAGACCCTCATACAAGTATATACTATCGATGATTATCTGTATTGTTGGGGCGTCCAATGTACGGGTTTACTAATTTCCCCATTGGACGAAACCAATTACATCATTGTTCAGGGTGGCTATGCAACCATCTAATGCATCGCAATTAAAGAACAAATTACTCCTTTTCGCAATGATTACATTGATTAAAAAATTTTTTCTTTTTTTTAAATAATTATTTTCGACGTTTTGCTCAAGTTTTTAGTAATAATTTCGTATGAACGTTTATATGTACTTTTTTAATCATACTACTATACGAAAATCTGAAAACAAAATAAGTATTAAAAATTTTTTTCTTCTTGCTTTGTTTTATTTTGGGTTGTTTTTGTAAGTGTATGAAATTATTTAGCAACTTCGATTTTTACTAAGTGGAGTTATTGCTTTCAAATAAAAAAAAATTGAAAAAGTTCAACGAAAGGGTTTTTGAATGGAATTTCAATTATTATGTTTGCATCATTTGGCAATTCTGAATCATCATTTTCATATTTCATATCAAATGTTTCAATAGCATTTATTTTCAGCATTATTAATTAGCAAACTAGCACCTATTGAAATATTGTGTCAGATTACTCCGAAAGAACATAATACTAATTATTTCTTCTTTCGGGAAAATGGCTTTTAAAACTTGAGTACATTTATTGTATTAGTATTAAAAAAAAAAGTCTATTAATTAGCAATTTGCAGTAACATTTTATTTATTTGCGGTATTGTAACAGTATCAATAAAATGAATTTAAAATATTTCAAATGTTCGTGTTAATTATT